CTACAGTCCGATGATATGGAGTTAGACAGTATGTTACGATTTGATTGTAAAAGATATTATGGAGGAAGTGTTTTGCATAAATAAACAATTTCAAATTTTAATTATTTCAGATTATGCGCAACTCAATAAAATAAAGACATCTTGTGTTCTATAAACCCTCTACGTCCAAAATTCCAAGAATTAGCGTAAAATTGGTTGCACCATGTATGAAGATCTAAACGACTATACCTGTGTGATTGTATCCATCATACCACAACAAAGTGGTCCATCTATGAATTGGTGTCATGTGCAAAGCGGCAAAAAGTGGATTTTGTCCCAGTGACTGTAGAAGCAGTTCTGTGAACGCTGTACCTTGATCGTGTTCTCGTTTACCAGTATCTAACACCAGCTTAGTTGGTGTTGCGTGAATGATCTAAGTTGCAGAATTAAACTATGTAAGCATACAAATGGGGCTTACCTTAGCTCCTAGTCGTTCACATTCAGCGGATAAGAGTAAAACGAGTTTCCTTTCTAGAACACTCACGCTTCTTGTGATAGCAGGGTCAAATAAAAGAGAGTTCGGAGAATGGAGCCACCTTGAAAAGATATATTTCCCTCGAGAAAAACTTTCGATTTGAACATGTTTTGGATACCAAAGACACAATTCAGAGGGAATCAAATCATACCTGCTCAACGACATAACCACTTCATCCGCACGTTTGTTAGCACCTTGGGCTATATCTCGCACGCAATCGGTCAACATCTGCTTTAGGATCTTCAGCGCAGCGTCAACGGCAGCACCTTCATCAAAAGCCGAGATGGTGTTCCTTAAAATGAGGTACATGGGAATGATGCATTAAAGCAGCAAAAGTCATCTTCACCTCAGCCCACAATATGCATCTGACGGCAATGCCGCGGTTGAATCGAACGCAACAGCGTCATCTGCTCCTTCTGCCTCCAAAAGGCGACCTCGTTGTACAAGTGCAGTTACCTGGAAAGTAAAATGTGATTTTTTCAAATCAATGTACAGTGGATTAACAGGAATTCTTCTCATTATAGATGTATTGGTGAGCTACAGTACAGTCACGCATTGTGCAGACTGAAATTCTTAAGTGCCAGATTGTGCTATAACCGTGTAATTTTGAACTTAGTCTTATGTGCATTCACGCCAAGTGCAGAGAAAATTCACCACTATATATGATTTGAAAATAAAAATCGGAAACAGCTCGTCGATTTGAATATTTCAACGAGAGCCAAAAATAATTGAGATAAAGAAAATTTGAGAAATTGAGGACTTACCGCAACCGCCTCCAACTCAAATTCAACACAGACGCTACCGCAAAAAGATGGGTTATTCAGCAGAACAGTCTCATCCTTTGTCAAAGGCTTCCAGTCTGAGGTAAGGCGAAGATCGTCTATCTCCTGATATCACAAGATAAAGCAAATCAGTTGATATTCTTGACATTTTTATCCAATCGTACCTTCCCACCAAGATCAGGCCTACTTGATGGAGATGCCCATAGTGCATGGCCAGCCCTTTGAAGATGTCGAGCAAAGAGTAAATCCAGACCAAAGAGACCTGCATCGCTTGGCACGCTGCCGATAGGCACATGCAGATAGCGCGCCCAGTTAGCATAGTCCTGATGTAATATATATGAAAATAGTTCAGCTCAACGAAGCAAAAAGTAAGATATTTACCTTTACATAGATGAAACTGTTGAAATAGTGTTTGCAGATCCTCTTAGCCACAACTCTTTGCCATTCCATTACATTCAATAGAGCATGAGGCTCTTGAACGTGAATGCGCACATGAGGGAATAGCGTGAGTTGTACTAATCTTTTCATCTGCAATACAGACAATTACGATTATCTAGGTGTAGTTGCAGTGTAAATATGAATGGTTTCTTGAAATTTGATGCAACTCTTGCCATAATTTCTGCAAGAGTATATTAGACAGCAAAAATAAGAACCAAAAAAACGCCTTTTTTCAGAATATCAATAAAAACAGGAACGGCTGCAGGTTAACAAGGAGCTATAACAAGAATAGAGAAAGGCTTAGAAAATTCAAGACTAGTTTTACCATATATTTTGGCTCTTCATCAACAAGCATGCATAAAAGTGTCGGCTTGGCTGTCGCTTCTCGGCTCATTCGAATGGCCTGAAAGACTAGTATTGTAGCAATACCCCAAAAACGATCAAAAAAGAAGACGGGCTTAGCTTACCTTATTGACTTCTTTCTCAGCCTCAGCAACTACACGAAAATGGCGAGTACTGAACTTTATCGTTGGTTGAATATCGCCTGTTGTTACTAGCTGATCCTTCCTAATAAATCACAATTTTAAGAATTCTTGCGTAAGTTAAGATGAATAGCAACTCACTCTTCCATGTAAGTTTGAGCATAGATTCGATCCATGTTTGGCATGGTCAGGTCCCCCCTTTGGACGATGAAGAACGAGCCGGTAGATGTAGTGGCATCAACGACAGCCCAAACTTGCCTAGTATCCTAAAGGGTCGTAAGAAAAAATGCAGAACCTTAAGAATTCGCATGGAATTGCGTACCTGCGCAAATTTGTAGAGAAAAACAGTGCGAATGGCATCATTAAGAAGATAAGACGTTTGGCCGGTAGAAAGAGGTATCATTTTGAGAGTCTGAAGGAAATGGTCGGTTAAAATTTGAACATATAAACGGGCAACAACAGAGCATTATGGCATGATATGACAGACGAAAATCGTACAGAAATTCCCAATATTTGAAAAAAGGGGGACAAAATCAAACGCACTTCTAGGGAATAAACTCCTCCAAGTGGCGGAGCCATAGGTCGACAAAGGCATCCAATTTGAGTCATAGCTCGGAACATCAACGGTATTTGCGACTCATAGATGCCTTCTACACGAGAACAGCACAGTTTCTCGTTGATTTCTTCCATAAGTTTTTGTTCTGCGCTCTGCAACATTTAAAGAATAATATAAAGAACTCAACTTTTCTGAGGTAAAAATCTGAATAAGCACATACCCCACTAATCGAATATTCGTACAGATAGTGAACCGTTTTATGGTGAGGAAGTACTCGCCGAACTACCTGTTTGCCTTCCACTGGCTCCTTAACGTTAAATTCTCCCTCGAGCTATTCTCAGAAATTAAGCCCAAACCTACCTTTTCATTGATCATCACCAGTCTGGGAACCCTTAACTGAAACCTGTCCATTCTGCCCTCCAGAGCTACCCAAAGGTTGAAGATGCCGGGAGTTTGCGTTTCATCCATTGATAGAATCTACAATGAGTGACACTCGCAGTGGACTGAACGTTTCAGGTTTTTTTTTTTCAACTCTAAAGCCTTATATATAAGAATGCTCAACAGTCTAAATTTTTGATCAGCGAATTGGTTCTAACAATATAAAGATCCAGAA